AATTTTCTGAGACACTGAATTTTGGGTTTTCACTATCTGTAAGCCATAATCATCAAAATTTCAAGAAATAAAGGCTTGGAATATTTCACTCTATGTGTAATGAATCTATATAATATATGGGTTTCACTTTCTGAAATGAGTGACAAAAAATATTGACCTTTTTCATGATATTCTAATTTTTTTAGATGTACCTGTAAATGTTGTCATTTTTAAGTGATTTATCATGCGGTGAGTCGAGGGAAATGACTGAGTAAATTGAGATAATACGCTCAAATGTACTGGAGATCAAAGACTATATAAAAAGGGATGTCGGAGATGGAGAATAGAAACCAACCGGCGCTATATTGAGCGCATTATCTCACGAGTCAGCGGTCTGAGTGGCCATATAAGTTACTAACAAGTAAAATGTTATTTCTTTGTAGATTATATAACAACAACTTGGAAAACAGACAAAACAGAAAAGGTAAGAAGCATTATTTGAGAAAAAGGCATACTAATACAATAGGTGCAGACCTGTAACGGAACTAACTTTACCCTGCACTGACATAATTTCCGATTTTTGTGAAAAAGGCTAATCACCCAGAGCACACATTCCATAGATCGATTCAAGTTACGTGCACAAATAAAAGCCTAACAGAGTGTGTTTGTTTTTGTTGAATTTCTGTCTCTGATAAATTAATTTACCCATTAAACTGTGCAATTTAATACCAGTACGAATATCAATATGATTTAATAAAAGAATAATGTACACATATGAATTGCATATGACAAATGTTGAATTTTTCTGAAATAATTTGAATTATTCATATTACTTGTATGACTGGATATCTAAAATGTAACTGAATAAGTCCGAATTAAAACTTACTCGTAAAAGTAAGATCTGGGGGATCGAACATTTTGACATGCAAAGTGAAGCGCGCATGTGACTGTATTCTTCATATTACTTGTATGACTGGGTATCTAAAATGTAACTGAATAAGTCCGAATTAAAACTTATTCGTAATGTAAGATCTGGGGGATAGAACATTTGGTCTGTGACGACTTGTTAATCTAATGAATAACTGATTTGTTAAATCAAATGAAAAATTGTGTTTTTGATTGGTCCAGACGCTACAACACGCAAAGTGAATCGCGCACGTGACTGGACAAAAAGTGAAGCTTCATTTGACATTGGTCTTGTGATTTCTATGTTAACAACACAAGCTTCGAATCGAGGCTTCATCTGGCACACCCGATTCGAACATTCCGACGCGCAAAGTGAATCGCGCATGTGACTGGACAAAAAGTAAAGCTTCGTTTGTCATTGGTCACGTGATTTCTATGTTAACAACACAAGCTTCGAATCGAGGCTTCATCTGGCACACCCATGGCCCTGTCCCAAATGGCACCCTAAACCCTTGCGGTCTTCCTCTGAGTTCGCACTTTCGTGACGTAATGCCGCTTTGACTGTCGGGTAGAAGTCTGCTGCGGAGCTCATACCAGTGCGGGCTCGGCAGAAGTGCGGCTCGAGGGTGCATAACGAAAGGGGGCACTCGCGAGCACCCTTCTGAATGCTAAAATGACAAATGGGACACCCTATGGTCTCCTGGACTTAACGGGCATGCGGCGGCCATTGTAAGTCCGTAAGACCGCAAGTGCACATGAAGTGTTCCATTTGGGACAGGGCCCATTTATTCTCGACACAAGCTCCGATGCCTCGGTTCAAATGTCACATCACTAATATGGACAGACAGGTAGTGGAGGGCAGAGCAAGCCTTCATGAAACACTGAAAAAGTCGAAGCAAATGTGCCGAGGCTTCGAAACAATTTGATACCTGTCTCTACGGTGACACCTAGTGGTCAGTTTCAAGTATTGCTCTGAAACAGCATTGACAACGAATCAGTTAAGGCCTGGGACACACTAGACGATTTTCAAATCTTAAACGATTTTAAAACCATGGGAGACCACAGACATGAAGACAGTTCAACCGATTTTAGCCTTATAATCCTCCTTATAATCCTTATAATGAATGCACACACGAGACGATTCGACCAGACCGCGAGACCACACACTTGATGATTGTAGGAACAATTTCAGTGACACGTGATCTCACGGACACTCGCGAGACCAAACGTGATTAGAGAAGAAAAACAAATAGAGGACAATCAACGTTGTCAGCTGGCTCTCCAGGTGCGCGTTCTGTTTCACATTGAAAAACAAAGTATAACAAAGAATATGGGTGATGTTCTCTGCTTTCATTGCATGTTTGTGGCTGCCAAGTTCAATAGTTTCAGCTATAGAAGCACGCAACATCCGGTAGGTGATGCTTGCTCGCTCTCATTGGCAATCGCGGGTATCATGTCAGAGACAGCCCGGTAGATAGGCTTGTTTGAGATGCGCCTCGCCTCGCCTGAAATTTATTGAATTGAATTGACTTTTCAAAAACTACAACGAACGACTCGTTTGGACTACAACGCATATTTTCCGGGATTTGTGATATCACAAATACCGACGAATGGGACGAGACCTGGTTGAGCTGCACTAGAGAAGGCAACGAGTGTTATCACTATGTCGGAGACACGCTAGCTTTCCCAAGGCAGACGAACTTAGAGTGGTTACAATCATCCGGGTTTAAATCGCACTCAAATTGATTTGATTTTGAC